ATATATATATATATATATATATATATATATATATATATATATATATATATATATATATATATATATATATATATATATATATATATATATATAATTTTTTTGCTTTTTTTTTTTATTTATTTATATATTTATTTATCTATTTATTGGTGATGACCAATGTTTTAACAAACACATCATTTGTACAATGAATAAATATTCCATCTTGGTAGAGGTGACAGTAAAACGTCCACCATATAAATAACCACTTTGGAAATCAAAGAAACTCATGCCATACCCGCAACAAAGACTACAAGCAGCTAGGATGAAGCAAGTCAAAAGCATGGTTCAGGTGACGACAACAGTCAAAACATCTCCCCTCCCCCCTACAATAGAGTTAAGACAAGGATGGCATCTATTTCCCTTCCCTCCCTTCCTCATCTCTTTTGAGGTAAACAGTAGCACTGTTAAAGACTTCTAAAGGCATATTTTCTTCTCCCTGGATCCACATTCCCCATGGTCTAAACCTGAATAAAGTTCCACTGTCCACAAAATCCAGTCTCATACACATGCACGGCTGGGCCTTTTTTTTTTTTTTTTTTTTTTTACTCCAGCAGCTTTGGGAAGCTGTGGTTTTGCATCTCAGTTGTGGCGTGAAACGGTGAAAGCGAATAATGGACTTCATTAAAGCGGAAAGGGTGTAGGCATGTACAATAAAATATATTCTTTTCTCTTCTCATTTCATAAATAATATAAGACATTTGTTACTTCACTCTCACAGAGCTATCTGACTTTTCAAGAATAAACCAAGTTCGTCGTCACAATTCCTGCCATTGGTGAACGCCGTATTAAAAAACAAAAACAAAAAAACAAAAAAAAACAAACAGGCTATTCAAATCACCTGTGTTTGACAAATAAAAACTGATTTTTTTTTATTAGAATAGCAGAACACTATCTCTGGCTAAATAGATTATAAGCCTTTGACAAAAAAAAAAAGATATTGCACTTTCAAAAACATGGATGTGTAATGTCAAATTACAGCTCAATTGGTAGAAATGAGTAAAATTTAAATAAAACGGGAAAAAAAAACAATTATTTTACTCATTCTCTGACAAAGTTTCTACAAGCATAAAAATGCAGGTAACCAACAGTTGGAGGACAACAGTGAACGAAAAGCTACATAACAACAAACAAACAAAAAAATTTAAAACTGTACCATGCACGGGGAGTGTTTCAAAAGCAGTGTATCCTGGATTACAATGGACGGAGCTTGAGAAAGCTGCAGGGATGTTTGGATTAACAGAGTAAGACTGGCTAGTGACCGTGCAAGCACTGACTGCTGGCAACGGTCGTGCGCGGTTTGCTCTTGCAAGAGTGGCTTGAACCCCAGTAAAACCCTCCAAACACCCAAGTCCCTAGCCCCATCCACAAACACCATCGCCACCCCCCCTCCCTCTCTCTCCTCCCCCTGTCTCTCTCTCTCTCTCACTATCGCTCTCTTGGCCGCCCTGGGGCTGGGCTCACATCTCCCCATCAAAACGTCAGATGGCAAAATAGAAAGGCAGCTGTTTGCTCCCGTCAACTAAAAGTGCATCTCCGCACTCCTCCAGCAAGGTCCGTCAGCCCACTGCTATCTCTGCCAAGGCAGTGAGAGTGGGCTACAGAGACCTGAGCTTGGGTCAGCACACATGTAGGTTTCAAGAACTTCTTTTTTCATACTTTGTACGTTTGGTTGCGTTTTCCCTTTTTTTTTTTTTTTTTTTCTTTGGGTTTTTTTTTTTTTTCAACTCACTAGACATAACATTTCACTTCTGCTTATACAGAAGCCAAAGGAGTGCTAATTGACAGGGTTGGCCCTAAAGAGGGCCAAAGACAGGTTGATAGTAGTGATGCCTCTCTCTTCATTCTCTTCGGTGTCATGCTGATTCCTAAACACCTCCGGCCGCCCCCGTTTCTCACTGGCGCCATTTTCACTTTTCAAGGCCGGCAATGCAACTGTACCAGTTGCCATGGTTTCACTGCAATGTAGAGCAGTCTGGATTTAATTGGCCCCTTGTCACATTTCAGATATGTACACAAATAAAAAAAAAGGACATCTTTGTATGGCATGCACAAATTATCATGTCTGGGTTACTTTTCCGCCGTAGAGCAGAACTATTAAAGATAATACTTTTATACAAGTTAACTTACCATAGAAACAAAATCATCATGTCAGAAAGTGGACAAATATAATTGCAAGGCCAATATTCAACAGCATTACCATAGCAACAAGGATTGAGTTAGGACCCTGCGAAAACAAAAAATAACATTAGTCTATAACAGCAACACCCCCATCCCCAAAAATGGGAAAAAACAATGTTCATTCATTTCATTTAATCAGTAGGTAACTGTTAAGATTGAAAGCAGTCTCATCTGTTTGTTAAAATTAAGCTTTAGCTAGCAACTAGTATCTTAGCATTTCACAGAAAAAGAACACAAAAGTTAAATGTCACTTGGATTCTGCAAGAAATAGTTTCACACATCAGTTAAAATTTATGTATTTTCTCCCCTATATTAAATATAGCATCAGTTATAAGTACCATACTTCCTAAATACTAACATTACCTACCTGCGGTTAGCTTATTGGGCTAGGGATTAGCTTGTAAAAGGGGCCAAACACGCTAACTTTCAAAGTTAGTATATTTGAAAATTTCCCTTGTTCAGTACCTCTATTCCCTCTATTCCATTTTCACCCTTTATATTATGTTCATGTAAAAAAAAAAAAAAAAAACCCACTTACTTAGGTGTTTTAGCATTTCAAATCCTACTTGCGGTACTGCTGTTTAATAAATTGGCATAGGGTATTCAAATTATCAACAGCAGTAGTAAAATCTAAATCTTGGGTAATGTAACTAATCCCCTTGTTTCATGATGCAGACATAACATTTGTCCTTTAGCGATGTAAACTTAGATTGCCCTGTGGAAGAATTACAAATGTCACCCATAATAAGTTTTGAAATATGTTTGTCTCACACAAATGTTTCAGATCATTTCACATTTTAATATGACAAAGAATATGACAAACTGTACAAAATTAGATTTTCAAATTAAGCTGTCCAAAACCATCCTGTCCCTATGTGAAAAAGTAATTGTCCTTCAGCTAACAACTGATTGGCTACCTTTGTTGTAGCTGAGATTCAGTCTTTTGCTTCACTGTGGACACAGGTCATACTACAGGATTTCAATTGGACTTAAATCCAGACTTCAGTTTGATTAGGCCACTCCAAAGCATTAACCTTACAGACTTGCTGGTGTGTTTTGATCATTTTCCTACTGTTTAACCCAAGTGCTCTTAATTTTAAGGTCACAAACTGATGGCCATATATTCTTGTTCATGGTATTCTGCTTAAGAGCAGAATTCACTGTTCAAGTTGTGAAGGAGAAAATAAGGCCCATACAGAATCTGCGCTAGTTTTATGGTGCAACAAAAACAAAAAGTTCTACTTTTGACTCATTAGTCTACAAAATATTTTTTACCAAATTGTCTTGGGGATCATCAGGAAGTCTTGTTGGCAAATTTCAGATGGACATTTGTGTTCTTTTTGCCAGCAGTGGTTTTGGCCTGGATCTCACCTCGTTTTGTCCAGTCTTTTACGTGTTGATGAATCATAAAAGCTGACCTTAACTGAGGTAGCTGAGGTCTGTAGTGCTTTAGATGTTTTTTTTTCTGTTTTCTTTCCTTTTTCCACTTGTGGATAATGAGTGTTACTGTGGTTCTCTTACTTCCTGGAGCCTAAAAATGACTTTATTGCTATTTGTAGGTGGATAGATGTCAGGCATGTTGGATTAAGGTAATTTCCTGATTTTACTGGGCTGACGGCAATGAGGCATAGATGTGGGTAGAGAAATTAAACCAAATGGTCACTAATTACAGTATATTCCACATTTACCAAAGGGGTCAATAATATTTTCATATGTGGATGGATAGGTTGGTTTGGATAGCTTTTATACCTTAGCAAATAAAATCATTTCAAAACTCCATTTTGCACTTAATCTGGTTATATTTTTATGAAGTTCAGAAACATTTTAGTCTGACAAAATCAAACAGAGAAGAAATCTGTGAAGTGTGAGACACTGTAATGTTATGTCCCTACACTAAGCTACAAGTAAAACATATAAGATTAATTTTAATCATTGTTTGTAAATGGAAGTATGAAATGCCCCCCTAAAATGGCTGGTATAAAACATTTAATGGTAGGCAGCACCATTTTTACCTTAAAAAGCCAATTGGGAAAATTACTTAAAAATACATATACCATCTTAGCCTCAGGCATTTGAATGTTAGTATATCAAATTTAGCTTCAGGTACTGTGATGTCAACTTTTTTCATCTGGTCAACAATAGCCACCACGAACTTTGGTTGAGCTACGGCATACTTACTGTTTCTTCTGTGCTTTCTGCAATTTCCATGCTTGCTTTCTTTGTGTCTGCAAGGCTCTTTGGTTTTAGGGAATCTTGCTTCCTGAGTTTTGGGTCGCTCTTGCTGTCCCGAATGGAAGGTGTCTTAGGAGTAGGGGTAGGGGTGCTGAAAGACTTGGGTTGCGGGGGCAGACGTGCCAGAGCTTGGGCACTGGGCTCTTCTTCCACTTCCTCAGGCTCAGGAGGTGGAGGGCCCCGTGGAGTGGCTTTAACGTAGTAGCTGTGATATTCAGAGTGGAGCTGGCCATTGACTGGAACAGTAGGAGGCTGCACGGGAGGAGCGGTTGCTGGGGCCTGTTGCTGAACTTTAGTTGGTTTAGGAGGAGCCTCAATGTGTGCATGAGAAGTCTTAGGCCCATCGGTGAAGGATAGCCTCTCTTCTTTACTTAGCTTCCTGCTAGATCGCTCGTCCTTGCTGGCCTTATAACTGGACTTCTCTTCTTTGCTTATCTTGCGGGATGGTTTTTCCTCTTTGCTCGGTTTGTGGCTGATGCTGTTGCCAATCTGGCCAGTCTTCTTCTTAGTGTCAGGTGAGGGGGGAGGAGTGGCTGCAGGGCTAGCGACAGGAGAATGGGGTGGAGTTGTGCCTTTGCGGTAAAAGTGAGGAGAATCATGTGGGGATTCTTCCTTCTTTTCAACAGGGACCTCTTTAATTTCCACTGGCTCTTTTGACTGTTGTTTTATGTAGTCTGGTCCTGAAAAGGGAAAAAGAAGTAACACACATTGTTATGGGAGCCTCAAGTCCACTTTGAATGATTACTGGGATTATATCACACACAAAAAAATACAACTGTAACTTTTACAACTGTAGGGATACCATCTTATTTAAAAAAAGCTATGAAATCAAATGAAGAGGAAAGAACTGTTTCAAAGACTGATTAGCCTTTTTTGATATGCTCAACTGGAATTGACTCAATTAATTATTAGGTTTCAAAAAGCTTCAGAGGAACATATGTAACATATGTACTTATTTCTTACTACAATACACTTTGTACAGCTGGTACGTAAATATCAAAATCAAAGTGGTCAGTCAGTATATCCAGGCTTATATCTGTGTAAACGGCCTTATTGTGGAGTGCTGGGGGCCTCCTGTACTCATAATCTCCATTTACCTTTCAGCTATGTGGCATTCCTAATTTGTTTTTGAACTGCCACGACCAAGACCCAGTACAAAGAGAAAGGAGGGACATGTAAACATTTGTGAGACTTAACATATCTCCCCAGCTTAATTTCACACCATAGCTCAATAAGAGTTGCAGCTCCACAGGCGGGAGTGAGTAATTTCGCTCTGTTTGGGGACAGATTCCTGTGGAGGTGGTGGGGGTTCCTAACATGTTGTAGATGGTTTTCACCATCCAGAACATGTTTCACGACCCCTACAGCCTCAAACAGCTTCAGGTCGAATGCTTTCATGACAACTATTCTAATGTGATTCGTACAAACTTGAACAGAGGGAAAAAAAGACAGAAAAAAAACCCTATTGCTTTTAAGAAATTTAAAAGCTGATTTTACATCCTCTGGATAGGAATCACCACAGTCTTGCGAGAATAGTGAAGTAAAGCCCATTCTAAAGTTTGAAGGAGATTCACAAGACATGTACTGCACCTGGAGTCCAGAGCTTCGTGAATATTTTAGAGCATTTCACTTCCCTCTGGTGACAACCTTATTCGAGATGCAAATTGATTTTTTAAGCAAGAACTACCAAAAGCACCTATAATAATTTTAATGACCCAAGTGTCACTGTGCTCGATAAGCCAGCATACAAACTCCATAGACAAACTACAGCATATTGTCACGAGGAAGAGTAGTGAAACCACATCGACATCATGTTTAAAATGTAACTCTCTGTATGTATTGAATCCATATTGTGAGTTTTTACTTTTTAAATGAAATTGCTCGATTAAACTTTTCAATGATATTAGAAGATATTCATCTCAAAAAGTACATTTTCCATATTTCTTCTTCAGATCACTGTTGCCTCGTTAAGCTTACTAGAATTCAAGCTTTTTGTCTAAGCTGCAGCAGTTTGCCAGTTCTGCTTATGTTAATCCACGGCACATTTTCTGCTCCAGTGCACTCTTACCAACATGCGAGCGCTCTATCCTCCTCATGCACAAATGTGGGCAATCATACAACCGTACAAAACATAACAGATCAGCCCTTTATGACCCAGTGTAACTCCTCCTGACCTTAATACGATACGAATGGCAGTTAAAAAGAGAGAAGCTTTAAAAAAAAAAAACATGAAAATTTATATATAAATATGTGTGCGCGCGCACGCAAACACAGCAGGAAGAAGTACATTGCCTGCATTTCACATCTGTTGCCAGCGGGCATTAGACTGAGTTCAGCTGGCCATTCCTAGGCAGCCTGTTTTTCATAATTTCATATTATAGGACATTGTGTAAATTTTTGTTACTGGTATTTACAGCTTAAGTTCTGTTTTTCTTGAAGAGCTGACAATCAAACACCTACACAAGCCTGTTTCTGCTTTATAAAAAATGATAGGGCTTCCCTGCTGCCTTGTCAGGCTAGGAGACAACAGCAACCAGAAAAAGATATTTCTCCTCCACTGCCTCATGGCAAATTGTTGATTTAAGTGGTTTGCCGGTACTGTACGGCAAGTAGAATATCACCTTCTTGGAATTAAAGTCCACATGCTCTCCCCATATATTGAGTTATGCTCTCTTTTATTCACAGCGCCTCTTTAGTGAAAGTTATAAGACACAGATTTGTGCCATTTTGTTTTGTAATAATTTGATATATCTTCCACTTATGTAACTTAAAAACAAACATGGTGCAACTTTGACCACTTTTCAGACATAAAATAGAATCTCAAAGTTCTTGATTTTGATCACCCTATGACATAGCTGACTGGCACACTTTGATGGTCCATATAAGTAGGTAACATAATCCTACCCAAAAAGTAAACTAAACTGTGAGTCATTTTTGTGAGAAGCAGTAAAAGTTTAAACTAGAATTTGTTATTTGCAGCAGCTATTCACATCCGAGTAGAAAACTGTTCACTGTCACCACAATTCATTCAGATCAAGAACCTAACAAACTAATTTCTATATGTTTGTATGAAATATTGTTTATCCAGTTAGATGTTTCCTAAAATCTCCGACTCCAACTGGCAGATGGGAGGACAGGAGTGCATATCCTTCCTGTCTTCCTGACAGAGTGGATCTCACGAGTGTGCTTTTACCAAATGTATTTTTAAGTGAAACAGTAAGACTATAATAAATGATTTAAAAGTTGAATTCACTTATTTATTTGTTTGTTCATTAACTAAAGTCCTAATTTGAGGGAGGTTCACACTGGCTCCAAAGTATGTTATCCAAATGCATCAGTCAGGAGAAGGCTACACAACAAAAATCCCCATTCTTTTAAACACATGCAGTTTTTATAAAACGGACCATGCTCAATAATTGGATCAAATATGGGAAATGTCTCTGAAATGGACTGCAATACAGAAAGTAGACAGGAAGACTACTCAGAGGCCAACAGCAACAGTGAAGGAGCAGGAGGAGTTTCCAAGAAGTCCTCCTGTTGTCTTTATATGTTTGGACAAAGGAGTAGGACTGCAAAACAGAAGCCTTTGCTTTCAAAGAAAACATTCAGGCTTAGCTTAAATTACCTAAAATCTTGTGGGAGAATGTGTGAATCTGCTGAAACACAGATTGAATTTCTGCCTACAGGGTAGGCAAAAATACACATGGAACAGTATTTAAAAATGCCACAAAGGAAACAATAGTGGGTGCAGCATTATGATATGGGTTTTTCCTAGGGTTTATGTTGAAGCAGATAAAAAAATATTAGAAAACTCCAAATGCCTGTTAGTTTTGACCTGTTAATTGGGTTGCTGCTAGAAAGCTAAAGATGAAGATAGTTTTTTAGGCCTGCATCCAAATAAACAAAAGAGGGTGAGTTCACCATTTTTAATTTCTTTATTTTTCTTTTTTTTTTTTCATTTTGTGGTTTTTTTTAAAGTTTAGTTGTACTAATGAAATTTCCTATTTCATGTGGGAGTAGCTTGAAAAAGATCAATCCTATTTTTCTGTCACAAAAACCTGACATTTAGATACAAGAGTATCTAAATGAGAGCCCCTCTCTTGTGTATGGGTGTGTGAAGAGTTACTCACTGGCTGCTGTTCAATGCAACGGAAATAAATTATCTTTAAGTAATTGGAGAATTAAAAAAAAAAGGTCAACAACGGGGAACGTGCATTTCCTGAATGTTTCTGGACTTAATAGCCCAACAACGAAGGTTAAGGTTTTCCTTGAACAGGTTTAATTAGTAGATTCAAAAACAAAATTGCAATATGATATATATCACTAGTAGGCTATTTTTAATAGGCGACTATTAATTCACTTTACATTCTCTTTTCCTGAAAGTCATAAGAAGTTTCTGTGTTAGGTTAACTTAAGGGAAAACTACTGAGTGAAAACTTACACCCCATCTGCTGCTATGAATACACAGCAACACCTGCTCGTGTCTGCCTTTCAGCCCTGACAGCTAGTGGCTTTTATGACTCCACCTGGTTCAAGTACACCTTGACGGGGTCAAAAAGGGTGGAGCAAGATCTCGCTTGCCCTCCCCTCCCAAACCAACCCACCCCCACCCATCTCTCTGGTGAGCGGCTGAAGGAAGGAACAGCTGCTGTGCGAGCGCAGGAGCAAAGTCCTCTCAGTGCATAAGGATTTCAACTATTTCTCCATTAGACCTCTGTGAGCACACATCAGCACCAAATATAGCCCAATTAACGTCACGCCACAGGCCACGCCCAGAAAACCCCCACTACTCCCCCTCCAGGGTGCTGTGTGTGTGTGAATCAATCGGAAAGGTCAGGGTCCTATTTGCTTTGACCCTCTCTTTCCTTTTGAAGTGCATAGTCCCAATCTTAGTGATAATCTGCCATGAGTCTGAAATGCTAATTACAAACAACAAGAGATATGGACCCATAGTTGTAGCTATATTATTAGAAACCAAAGTATGAAGATGTGTGCATTTAGAAAGGAAGCCATATTACACTGGAAAAGTCATTTATTCTGATTGAATTCACTCTGAATATTTTTTTCACACCATATATATATATATATATATATATATATATATATATATATATATATATATATATATATATATATATATATATTAATCTTCTTTGTAAGTAAACTTGTTTGAGAGTAGCATTACATTTTTCCCCCAGGAAGCTGCAAATATGGGATGTGTACAGTCAAACATGAAAAGCCAGCCACAGAGACAAACCAGAAATCTTGACAATCTGTATTAATCTGACTTCCTTCATACTGCAAAAACAAAACAAATTAACATATGTTGAATAAGTTTGGTTATTTGCAGGTGCGTGTTTGGCTTTCAGCAGGACTTAACAGACAAGCTTACGTAACTGAACGTTTAAATGTTCTGGCTCATATGTCATCCTGCGCTGCACATTATTATGACATCGGCCACTCTCTCATTCATGATCCGACTTATAAGGCAAGGACACTCTCCCTGCACACACTTGCACACACACGCACACACGTGGATATGGAGAACACTCAGCCTGCCAGGCATGACCACTGTTTTCCACAACACAAACAAACCACAGGATGTCTCTGGCCTTGGCCGGCCATTTCTGTGGCTTAGACAGCGACATGCTTGAATGGACCCCATTGTCAATCTGTATGTCACCTACTATTTTGTAGTGGCTTTTGGAAAGGGCCCAAATGTTGCTTGCTCATAGGGCTAAAAATATTCGATCAAATGGTAGGGGGCTAGGGGGTGAAGATAGCATTGATCTTACACAGTAAATAAAAATAAACAAAAAGGCGTGGCATTGCTTCTCTGGATATTTTAGCTCTTTTTCAGGCAGAATAGGGGAAAGATTAGCACCAAACATATAATGCTAGTGGTTTAGATAAATTCACAGAATGAGTATAGCTTTAAAAAATACTTTACGCATTTATTCTTCAATTGTGTTCAAAGCTCATAACTAACACAAGCTGTATTCGCTTTTATTTTTGGTTGCCAAAAAGGGATTCGTCATACATGAAACACCAATCTCATGCAACAATGTATAACACAACGACAAGCCCAGAAGGAAGTAACGATATCTCAGTCTCCAGCTTCACTGTGACGTCATATGTTGATGATCGATGTAGATATTTGACCAATGAGAAGGCCAAATTCAGGAGAAATGTTGTCTGAGAGCAATAGGAGAGCTAAAAGAACGGCACCTAACCTAGGGATTTAAAAGCGCTATCTGTAGTGAGAGAAGTCTGCTTGTACTGTAAAACATTACTCCACTCAACAAGTTTTGTCATGGAAGCCTGTCATTGTGTCATGAACTCCAAACTAACAGGAGAAAAATAAATTACTGATATTTAGATGGCAGCGGAAGCTCATCAGTAAACCATGCTGAAACAGGGGGAGTTGTTTTGTAGGTAGTATTTATTGATTCATTTTTTAATGCAATCATCATATAATGTGTACTGACAGAGTGTACTGTAATGAATAAGCTTGATAAAACAAAAAAGAGACTAGGTTTTCTTGCTTTTTAAATGACACACAAATATCATCCAACATCCACCACAATGCTTTCCACGAAAATGCTCTTTTGTATAACGTCTGCCCCTTTATGTCCACCTCTGACCTCAGTTGCATCACAACTTTAAAAGAAAATACACAACTTGATAATTTATTTAGTATTATATGTCTGTTGCTACTTTGTAAAGCTCAGCCTACCTTGTAAAAAGACTAAATAGGGCTGAGTTGACACCCTATGCTTTGAAGACAGTATGCCTGTTAAACTGTCAGGCAGAGGAAAAGTGAGAACCGCATGGGGTAAGTAGAAGGAAACTTTTGAAGGGTTCCATTTCCACCACCCCTTATGCTCCTTCAGTCAGAAAGAAAATCAAGAAACAAAAAATGCATTCTTTTATTTTGCGTTGACTTTAGCGATTCGTTCAATCACAACAAGCCTTTGAGAGCAGGGAAGATAAAAGCTGCCATTCAGAAAAAAATAGTGGCCTGTTTTAGTATAAACACACAGGCCTTCATTGTAGTGTTCGAATTTGTCTTCAGTGTCTCGACTGTTTAATCACACAGCCGGGACACCAATCTCTTTTTTGTTTGTGTTCCGAGCAGAAGCTCAAGAACAAGCTCAAATAGTCAATGTGAAATGCTCAAATGTGCACAGAAACCCACTTCCCTCTTGTTAACAAGCCTCATAAAATCTGAACTTCATGGACAAATGTGTCGCTTAGAGAAACAGGGGTCGTCAGAGTTACATTCGAGTGCTTACAGATTGCAGTTACCATTAGCGCCTTTGCAAAACCAGATCCTACAACCACGTCTGTGCTTCGACACTACAATGACTGAAAGCCTTGCCTGTAACCATTTCTACGTGCATGGCCACGCAAATGCTGGGATGGATTTAGCCACAAGAAAATGTGTTGCGGTACACCAAAGCCGCTGACCTCCTTAACCCCACAGTGCACCTGCAGCTTGACTCTGGATAGATGGTTTTCATATCCAAGTGTGCTAACCAACTGGGACCTTTTCAGCATAGCTTTATCCCTGCTTTAGTCCTCTACAGTTTCGATAAAGAATTTTAAAGGAGTGGAAGAGAAATCAATCTTGCCAGCTTTGTTTGGTGTGTGTGTGTGTTTTTTTTATGAATGCTCGCTTGATCCGGGCATGGTTACTCCATGTGTTTAAAAATGTTTGAACTTGAGTTGGAAAGCCACAAAGGAACACAGAGTGTGTCTCAAAGCCCTATCAGCTGCTGCTTTGCTGTAAGCTTACAGTGCTGTGTTTATCCCCATAAGATTTATTATGCATTTGCTTTTGTTACACTGAAAGTACTTCAGATGATTCAAGAGAATTTAGTATCAAACAAAGATAACACAATTAAATAGAAAAACCTGCGTTCTAATTGTCATTTTCTTGAGAGAGAAAAAGTCTTCCAAACCAACTTCATCGTATGTGAAAAAGCGACCCTCCTTCTTCCCTACAGATCCTTTCTTGAACCGCAGAATCAAGAAGTCCCATAAATAGACCTTGTGACAACACGTAGTAGGCCAAAAGCGACATATCATGCTTTGATTTAAAGAAGTACAAGAACAGGTGAGAAACAAGGTCAGTGACGTACGTCTGGTTAGGCTGACAAAGGCACCGCTAAGGTTTGAGACTCCAGAGAACCACAGTGAGAGATATTATCCATGATTGGAGAAAGCATGGAAATGAGTGAATCTTCCCAAGAGTGAATGGCCCATTAAACACACTGATGACTGATGGTGGTCAGGTGATGGTCTGGATAAGCTTTGCTGCCTCAGGATCTGGATGACTAGCCATAACAAATGAAACTATGAATTCTGCTGTTGTATGATTTTAACCAGACACATCCATGCCTAGACGACCCAATCCCAATGTGGTCGAATTTCTCCCTGTTAAAGTAAGACAGGATCATTTCTTAAGTTGTTGTCTGTTTGCATTGCGGAGTTGACTGCACTTCGAACATGCTGCCAACACTCAGTTACGGCAAGAACACCTGCATGAATGAAGCAAAAGTTTGCGCTGAGAGGACACATACTGCATGCTGTGTATGGAATGTTTTAAAATGTTACCTGGCTGGTAAAAGTTGGGGGAGAGCTCCCTGGCAACCGCCCTGGCAATTTCCGACTCATGCACGGCAGAGATGGAGGCTTGTTCTGCTGCCTCGCTTTTTGTCCTGGCATGGGCCGTCCTGCAGACAACACAAGGAGCAACAACATTAGAAAACAGGAACTATATTACAAGCACAGAATATCGATTGAAGTTTCAAGTAGAAATAGCTAGTCAAACACATTTATGAACCCTTTCTATTAGAGCAAAAATGCTTTTCGACAGTTACTAAACATGCTACAATTTTCAGATTAAATTGCTTTCTGCTGTTATCATTTCTTTCTCCTATTTTTTTTTCCTTTCTATTCACTTCACACTAAGCTGTACAACTCAACCCATCCCTCTTGGATAACATAACACTTTCACTTGTGTTGCCATCTGAAATCCAAATCCTGATTTTCCAAATGGAGCAAAGCCAAAGCCTAGCAAGAGCTTAATGCCCTCTGGAGCACTGCACTGGGCTATCAGAAATGGTCTCAAAGAGGGCAGAAAAACACACACACAGGTAGGCACACAGAGTGCATGATTAGATTTGTAGTGTATTGTACAACTATAGAATAACATAAGAAGCAGAAAAGCAACTAAATATGTTGAGAATGTCTCATAAAACATAAAATTACATATTAAACCATAGTTTATATTTGTTGCTGGTTTCTATTTTTGCACCTCTGGATTTTGGGGTGTTTTTTTTAGCTGACCTTTCATGTTGTAAAGAGGACTTTTCCCCTATGATACATTCTGGCCTGACAGTGTGTCAGTTCCACCAACCTTAAGGATATTTCCTAACACCTTCGACAATCAATAAAGCAATTTTCTACCACCTGCCTGGTTTTGTGAATGCCAGCAGGTCATTCAAGATGTCCAGAAGTCATTTTTTTCCAAGTCCAGGTCTAAATCAAGATTCAAGTCGTTGAGGGACTCTGAGATTAACATCTACATGCAATCAAATTTGGCAATCCTAAAGCCAAATTTGACCCATTGGCATGCATCTTCTTCAGAAAATTTAATTTTATATCCTGGTGACCTTTCTATGAAAGCCGGTGAATAAGTTTAAAAACTGATAAGATGTATTCTTTAAAGAACAATTGTGCAAATTGTTCTACATTTGTGCAAAGTTCTACATTGACATTTGTTAATGTAGAACTGCAAAATGAGTCAAACAGCTTCAAAACTATATTCTAAATCTACATTTGAAATGTTTGTTGTCAAGTCTAACAGTTATTCTGTGCCAATGTATGATGTGAGGCATCAAACAGAGGCTCAGGCACGATGGAGTCCATGAAACAGTGAGAATGTCCAACTTTTTAATTAATCCAAGACAAAATGCTTTTGTTTTTGGAAAGCTGGAAGCTGAGAAAGTTTGCCTCTAATTACACCTGCTTAACTCCAAGGGAATAAGTGATACATTTAAGTTCTGAAAAGAATCGACGTCATTAACACAGAGCTGTGAGAGAAATCCATGTGGTGATTTTTATAAAACACCTCAAACATTAACAGATAGTTAAGAATCATTAATAACTTACACTCTGCAAATGTTCCTAGCAAAGAGAATTTGCACATAGATGTCAGAAGTATGGTTTACCTGCTCGCTCCCATTTCTGATTACATGATAGCAAGATTGTTAAGAAGATCCATATCCCAAAATTTGAGTCTGACTCTTTAGCCCATTTCTCCTAAGTTCTTCTGAGGTTACTAGTTTTGCAACTTAAGACTCAAGTTTAAGTATGGCAAAATTGCAATCTTTGACTTAATAATATTTTGGGTTTGCGAAGAGGTTAAAATGTCTCGTATGAGACATTATTCTCATTTTCTATGAGAGTTGATAGGCCAAACAAGGATCAAAACAACCATGAATGGAAATAAACTCCTTGATTATCAATCTACATAATACAACAAAACACCGAACTAAAGAAGTAGCCCCAACAAACAGGTGGTATAGAAAACTGAGCTTAGACCGAAATCACAATGTAAGGTTATAAAATATTGGTATGAATTTGCTGAAGGTTAAAGAGACCAGAAACTATCTATATCAGAGCCATGGTTCTGTATGCACACACTTAGATCAACAGAAAACCTTGATTTAAAGTTGAATATTTTCAGGTTCAATAAGCAGTGCTGAGACGTACTGTACTACAGCGGCACAATGAAACAAATATTCATTGAAATCATTTTGTTTTTCAAGGGATTCTTGGTCAAGACAGTAGCACAGAAGTGATCTAGGCACCATTTAAAACAACAAAACATCTAAAAAAAATAAGTAGATGATTTTAAAGCAAATAACAACAATAATAATATATAAATACAGGAGCTTATTAGATTAACTACGTATTCGGTAAAGATATGTACCACTGGATTTATTAAAAAAAAAGTAACAAGAACATGAACAGCAAGAGTTCTATGTGCACTATGCACTTATTTAAAACTGGAGTGCTATAATACTCCAAGAATGTACAACAAGGAAGTACAGGATGCAGCTGCAAAGTATCTAGCATCACTATAAGTATCGACAGCTGTGCCAGCTGGCCTGATTAACCCCGCTCATCCATCTTCCTCTCCCTCCTTCTTTCTTTCAATCAATGCTCCCCGTTTTTTGTTGTTGTTGTTTTTTCAATCCTTCAGCTAGCTACTGACGTCTGCCCTCATCCGTCTGCATGCGGGCCGCTCCTCTCCCTCAGCATCTCTCCGTTAGACAGACTTTTCTAATTCAAAAAGACTTTGGACTGTCTTGTTTAGGACAAGCTGGACAGTGAAAATATTAAAATGCATGAGGAACCGAAATAAGTCGGGACATCACCCGAAGACAAAGGACGCACTGAGGCTGTGTGGTTATGTCTGGAAACCACGGAGCTGCTGCAGACAAGAACTTGAGCTTAATAAATTTTTAACCCAGCTGCAGAGTCGGACATGCTTCCAAGTTACTGTAGTTGCAAAAATTGTATTAGTTTGGCTATTTGCTGAGACACTGGACAGCTTCGTAATCTTGTAGACTAACAGCAAAGACATAGATCACGATATTGATACGGGCTGCAGATGTTCAGAGGGACCTATATAATTCTACTGCTATTTTCATCGCTGCATAAAGGCATGACTGTATGCAGCAATGTCCGTGACACAGCCCAAAGAATCTGAGCACAGTGAAGTCATGGACAGACCGAAGAAGTGATGCACACTGTTCCCAGACAGGATGTCTGCTGGTGGGAGGTGACAGGCAGAAAATGATGGGAGTGGAGGTGTGATAGAGCATTGGGACAAGAGGGGGTGAAACGAAAGGTGAGAAAATACAGGCGTGTGCAAGGAAGAAATGAAAGGAATGGTTGGTTTTGTTCTTGGCATGCACTATAAATGAGATGGTTGAGACATAAAAAAAAAAAAAAGCAATACATTTTGGATACTGTTAGGATAGTAATTTGTCCAAGTTCCTGCGAACAACAGTTATTGCAATTTGTTCCATTAATTTGTACATCAATATTTTTAGGACTTAACTTTTTGAAATGTGTAGGCTTTTATTTTGAAGGCAGTTTTTTTTTCTCACACTCCCTCCTGAAAGACATGGAAGCAGTGAAGCAAATTGGTAGTAGCTTTGCATAGCTGATAATGACGGTGTGTCCTTCCTATTCCTTCTTGAAAGTTTGACCATTTGCTCTGATGATGTTTATGGTGAAATACTGTAAAGGTTAACATATTTTGTTTTATGCAAATACACTCATAGCACAGAAATGTTCACCACATCCCTGCAAACCAAAATTGCAAAAATTATGCAGCGTTGTGGTTTCTGTTTTTACTTTAAAGTTCTATTCTGTTTTTTTTTTCGTTGTTCTTTTATGTTCTATTCTAATTGCTATTTTCTCTAGAAGCTGCCCAGTATGAGCAGCAGACAAAGCAGTGAGCCATCTGGCATGTTGCTTTGTTCATAAGATGAATGTGGCAGGTTCACTCCCTGTCTTTGGTTCACTGGATAGTCCAATTGCGTTTCCCACTGCAAGCAAATCACACACTTTCAGGTGAGCCAGACTCCGCTTGCTTTGTCTGTACCAGAGTTCGATTTAGCTTCCATGCTTCCAAAACAAAGCAGAAAATCACAGGTAATAAACCCTAGTCAACGGAAAGTGGGTCCAAACAGCTCCTTGTGTGACAGTATCCTATAAACTCGTTTATAGGGTAAAATTAAAAAGCACACGTAGTCCCATGGAAAACAAACATATTCCACGTCCTATTCTCTTAGGCCCATATCTATGATCTAGATGTTAATAAGGGATTTGCATGCAAAGACACAAAGCCAAAGCTAGCCCAAGGTAATGCTCCCTTAGCATGAGGCACTCCTCACTTAGTTAAGTCACAGCCACAGGCTGCACTTTAGTCACATATAATATCAGATGCTTGGTATTGAAGGGTCAAGGTAAACAAACTAAACATTGTCCTGATCTAGTCACCATTCCAGTAATTAGTGCAAACCAAGAAACTGGTTATAATCACAATGCAGACATTTCCTTATCAACAAGAGGATGTTGAGAGCACAGATGTCATACATATGCCTCTAATGGATTTTGTGCATTTTTTTTATTTTCAAAGAACCACAGGTGTGTTATTAATGTGTCAATCTGAGAAATGACATGTTATACTTTATGAAATTGGATCTATCATGGAAACGCCAATATTTGCGCCATTTTACCAGTTTAAGGCAGAGCTAAAGCAAACATAATCTACTGGAGATCAAATTACGAAAAAACATTACGGTGATCAGCAATTCAAAGAATATATCTGACCTGCAGCAGAGTGCAAACTCACTTATGACCTCTGAAAAAAAGAAGTATTAAGCTGTATAACTTGTCAAACATGCCAGCAGCCTCACAAGGCCCTGTGGCTTTGAATATAAAGCAACACCTGTTCCCGTTTAGCTTTGGACTCTGCAAGCACTCAGGTCTGGGGTTGAGTCCAAGCAAATCAAGGTATCTGAACCTGCAAAATGTCACACATACATACAATCTGGACAGTTTAGTGACATGAACGCAGGGTGAGTAGGACAAATTACTTTTTCTATGTGGAATCAAAACATTGGTTTCTATGTCAAGACGAAACATGTTC